GATGTGTATAAGAGACAGATATATATATCTTGCGGAACACAAATTTATTAAACTATAAAAAAAATCAAACGGATATTTCGATAGCTCCTGCTATCTTTATCAACGTTAAAGTGAGAAAACTTTGGACATCTTACACATACATAAAGAATAATAAATGGCATTAACCAATCGGAATCAAATTATAAAGATACAATTATTTGATTGGACCACAAAATATAAGTTAATGTGACAAGTTAATGGTTGAAATTATTACAATTAAACCATGTTAAGATGTCTGCAAAATTATTATGTAAGCGATAGTTTATTGGCGGTGCCATTGAATCAGCTATTGCTAAGACATTAATAGAGAGTAATTTAACAAAAGTAAACAGTAACAGGAAATAAAATATAGTAAGATTTATATAGGGTCCTATATAATTAAAACAATTGTGGAATAGAAATTAAATTGTAGAAATATAAAGGTATATGTATGAGTTTAAATAATATAACGCATGATATCATGATGACTATTAAATACAGTTTAGAAATCAATTAATATAATAAATGTACATAAGTAGAAATAATATGTAGCATATATTGTTAGATACTGTATTCATAGTGAATTATTGCGTATGAAGGCATAATCATATGTATAGCCTAAGTCCAATATTTAGTCCCTTAATATGAGTTTTTAACCGGATTATCCATTTCATTGCTGCGTTACGTCGTTCTTGTGTCAGTGGATTTAAAATTGCAACCTATTATTATAGCCCTAAAGTGATGGTGTGATTAGGTGAATTAAAATGTGCGCTTACTGGGAGAGTTGAGTTCGTGTCTTATAGATGATTTGTGGTTCTTCATTCTAGATCTTAAAGTGAGACCAGTTTCGGCAACAACAACAGTTTTGGTTTCAGTTAAAAACACTGAGGCTGAAATTGAGAACAAATTAAGAACAAATTGAGGCTGAGGTAAAATGCCAAATAAGATTTTTATTTTTTGAAACTAGAAAAACCAAAAAATATCTGTATCTTTTGTGTAGGTGCGACTATGCAAAACAGTAGGCATACACTATACGGGAGCCAGTCAATTCGAGCGGATGCACTCGCCCCCCCCCCCCTATTCGTCCCCCCAAAAGAAATCAATTGCAAGTTAAAAATCACCTAAAATCACCTTATTTTGCGAGATAGCACCCCTCAACTGATCATCGAACCCCCCTACTTCACCTTTGCGTCCCCAATCAGCACCCCCATTTCAAGACTTCTAGATACGCCACTGGAGCCAGGGGAAAAGCCCCGGTGGGTTCCGGGGGAGAAGCCTATAGCCTTTTAATAAAAGTCTTATTTAATTGATTTATAAGGTTAAAAATTTACAATTAAACATACCTACGTTCATAAATACAATGTTTAGTCATTGTTATTCTTTCCACATCCTAAGTTTAAAAAAAAAAGTGGGGTTTGAACTATATAGACGAATTTTTGAATAGTGGAGAAACTTGGTATGATGTCTATTGCTGTGCTTTTGATAGTCTTGTCACATTTTTCAAACGGCGGGGTGGGGCACAACAGTTTCACAATAGTTAAAGTGAGTAGCACATAACATTAATATGCATTGACATTTTTAAAATTTAGTGGCAAGACGAGGGGGAAACGTGCCTCCCCGTGCCCCCTACACGTCACTGGATCCGCCCCTGTGTCACACTATTACACCAATGATTTGTGCACCTTTTGATACCATATACGTAAAAATAATTTAAATTTCTATGGTGAATAAAAATTACATTTACAGTTACTCCCATTTACAAATATAGGCCTAAATCGTAAATCTACACTGTTACAACACTATAATAATTCAACTAATTGGAGACAAAAACCTTGAATTCTATGCGAAATTCTATAGTTTTAAAATATAGGGCCTAAGTGTTTTCTAGCGGCCATCTTTTAGTCAGATTTGCCAAGACTGTAATTCAAACATGAAATAATTATCAAAAAGTACCAAAAAACATTTCAGAACTTAGTGCACAGAGCATTTTTTGCATTTAAAACAAACATACAAAAATAGGGCGACCATAAATTCGCTCTTGTTGTAGTTCGCACCAATGCATCCACTCGAACTGGCATCCGCTCGAACTGACATCCGCTCGAATTGACTGGCAACCCTTATTTGATGATTGGCTTCTTGTATTTTTGGGAAGAGTGTGTCCATTGCAAATTGATTGATCAATTAAGATAGCACAGGCCTATTTAGACATTTAATAATCATCATTTTCATATCCCTCTAAATAAAGACCGCTCCAATTAAAGACCACCTCCAATCATAGTCCACTTTTTTGTGGTGCCAAATTAACAATATTTATTTTATCTTTATTATTTTAATGTGAGACCAAAGTTGCTAAAAATTCAAAATTCTGCAGTTAGACTTACTTTTTTACATTCAAACGTCTGCTTTTTCTTATCAAATCACTTTCTGGCGTCTGCCCTTTGTACATGTCCAATTACATTTCACTACGTACCCATGTGCGCCTAACAAGATCTTCCAATCCAACTTGCTTGACCGGTCTACCATAAACGTATTTGTGACAATTCATTTCCTTCAATTGCTGCCCAACTTTCATTTGAAATGGTCTACCTAATTCTCTCAGATATTGTGATTCGCTTAGGCAGTTCAAAGCCCATCTAAATACCAACCTTTTTCAATAGTTCCTCTCACCTCGCCAGATCGTTTTTGTTTATTTTTTTCTTTGTTTTCTTATTTTTTTACTGCTTTATTGCATTAATTAAAGTTAGCTCACATGGGTTTGGTTCTATGCAACTAAGAAAGGCGCTATACAAGTAACACGTAACAATTAAAAAACATGGATACCCCGGTTTGAAAGTGGTCTTTAATTGGAGATTGAAGGGAAAAGGTATTCAACAATAATTTTACTTGCACGTCATTCCTGTGAGGTGCTAAAAGAAGAAGCAATACTTTCCAATGCCTAATAATTAGACCGGGAGCCCAGAAAATTTAATCATGTGAAAAGAGACAAAAGGTTTGATGGTCTGGTCATGATAGTATAGGGCCAAGATAAAATATTCAGTATTGCTGCCGGGGCACATCCTGTACAAGCGGGCTGGGGGAAATGAAATAG